GCTACTGCTGTTGTCAGAGCGCTTCGCTTGCCCGCGAAGGCGCAATAGACTGCACAAACGTAGCCGCAGCGGAAGAGACAAACGGCCGCTGCGAAAGTCCACGGTCAAGCAAATCGAGCCTGAAAGAAATGGAGCTATGGCTTGACGAGATCGGCGTGGACCGGCGTGGTGGCGGGTGTGGGCCTCCGGCAGCTAGACTAACCTGGGTTTCTGGGAAAGGAATTGGGCTCACGGCTGCCGTGGAGTTGGAGCGTGATTCAACGGTGAGAGAAAGTAATACCCTTGTACAAGCAGTCCCCGCAGGTGTTTGTTTTCCTACTCCAAGACGCACCTTGTTGAACCTTTGTTGCACAGTATTTTTGCCTGCACATTCGCTTCCGAGAATTGACAAGGACTTCATCCCCCCGTGCTCTTTAACCCAGGTGGCCAGCATCCCCCGAAAAATATGTTTCTCGTCGGATGCCGCGGATGCGCCTGCTGGAACGCTTAGAGCGTGGGCGCATGACTTGTTTGCCTCCATTCCGTCTTCCGCTGCTGCAGCATGCTCAGAGAAACATCTGAGTTTTGAGAGGGACGTGGCTGTGGTCACGCTGCAGGTTTTCCTTGAGAGAGCCGCCGGCGCGAGCTCAACGTGCGCGCCCTGGATGGCGATGCTGAATCGAAAGGGCCACCTTAACCTGCCGGCTTTGTGGCCAGACAGCGACCTTGAGGGCCTTAAAGGAACGCTTGTCTTGCAAGATGTTGAGGCGTGCCTGGCGAGGGCCAAGTCGGAGCGTGTCGCCGTTGCTTCTGCCATGGTGACAGGACTGCGGGGGGATTTTGGGGCGGGCGGGCGGGAGGGGGGCGAGGCGGGGGGCTTCCCGGAGTGTACCTGGTTGGATCCCAGCAATATGGAAGGGAGACCAACATTCGCCGAGTGGTTGCATGCACGGTGCACGGTCCAATCCAGGGCGTATCGCGTTGGGCGAAGGTGAGGCTAGATTAGCTAATCGTACCACTGTAGGTCATGTTCGACAATTTGGTATTGAACGCGGTGCAACAAAGTCTTCGACATTGAGCTTGCCACAAAAGTGCTTGGTGCGATATGCAAGACAAGATTGGCTTCGCGCTGACTCAGCACTCGCTCTCCCTGTCTGTGCCCCTTTCTTTCGTCGCAGATACCTACTCATACCCTTGGTTGACTTCGCCAACCACGACGATGATGTGGCCTTTGCGGTGTGTCCTGGTGACGGCGTGTTCACCGGCTCCGACGAGGTAGGGTATGAAGGCTCATGTGCGTGTCCTAGTTGGCCAGCGGTAGAGTACACCACGCTCTCATGGATAGCGCGGCGGAGTGCCACGCGTTGTAGCTTACACTATCACGTAGTTTAGTTTTCATACCAACGACAATCATGATACACTGCCCGTAAAACTTGGGTTGGAGGCATTTCCAACGCTCTTGCGGTGGTGATGATCCGAATTGATTTATATATATATATATATATATTTTTCTCCCATCATTGGACTCTGGCGTCTGCCCCTCTGGCCCCTATCCTCCACTTCTACTAGCTAGACAACCCAACCGGGGTCACATAGGAGGGGTGGGCTGGATCCCCTCCTGCGGTATGCTGCCTGAGGTATTTTTTTCGCGAGAAGGGTACAGCAATCCCTTCCCTCGCGACTCACGAAGTTGATTATGGTTTGCTTACAACGAGCTTTGCAGCGCGTCGCTTTCATCCTAGACCAGGAATTATTGAGAGAGAAAAAAACTCACTCTGCCGGGACTCGAACCCATGACCTGACCCTTAGCAGGGTGCGAGGTTACTCACTAGACGACCGGGGCGACCGGTTTATGTGGGGCATGGTATCTACCATTGTACGTCTGTAGTGCACGCGTTACACTCTCCCCTAACCCCAGTAGTCGCCATGAAGTTTTTTATGTCCTCTCCTATATACATAGTTTCGTGGTAACCAACTTTTTTCTGGCGGTTGCGTTGTTTCAACCCCATCGCGGTTGCACCTTGACGCTATGTTTTCCCAGGTCGTGTTCGTGGCAGACCGAACCTACAGGCCAGGCGAAGAAGTGTGCACGACCTATGGTGATATGGATAACGCCAAGAGACTCTTCTCCTTCGGGTTCGTCACCCTCAAGCAACATGCTGCTCAGCCATTTCAACGCCGCCTCACGGGCAACATGCTCGCTCTTCCGACGGAAGCCTTTTGCGACGTTGAGCTCACCATAGCTGCGACAGATGCGTTGCGCGTCGTCAAAGAGACCGTATTTCGCGAACGTCGAGCGGGAGACGATCTTTCATCCCCAAGTCTAAGCGCGGTGTTCCCGTTGACCCCTTTCGTGTCGCAGTTGGTCGATGGCCCGGCCCGATTGTTTGTGGAATCTGTCCTGCCTGTTTTGCGCCTTGTTGCTTTGACCCCTGACGAGCTAACGGGTGGCGAGGCCTTCGGCGATGCGTTCGATACTCGTAGTGCTTTGGGGACGATTTTTGAAAGCATGGTGACCGATACTAGCTCAGATAGGTGCCCTGTCCTCGCTGCTGGGAAAGGTCGTCAAGTTCTGGCGCATTTGGGCAGTCGCCTGTCGCTTCAGAACGAGCAGCAGGCGTTGCGTCTCCTTGCAGAGCAATGTCGCACTCGATTGGGGTCACTCAACCTGACGACTAGCGATGTAGAGGCTTTGAGCGCGGTCGCGGACGATTCGCACGAGTCGAAGGCATTCGCGGCTTGTGGACCGCGCTCCTTGCTCTGCGCAACGGTACGGGTGGGGGAGGCTATTGCTTGGTACGCTCTTCTGAAGGCGTGCGACGAAAAGATGGAGGGTTGCACAGGCGTGCGTGAGGAACAGACTTGGGCTTCTTGGATGTTAGAACGTTGCGAAACAGCAGTCGAGTAGCTGTAGAAAAAAAAAGAAGATTTGCCTCAAATGGCTGTCGAGTGAAGGCTTCTATGTACACACAAGAGTTCTGGGTTATATCCCCTTGGCAAACCAGTCCCGCTCCAGAGTAAGGTGTTGTTTCCCAACGTATCGCGGGGGTCGAGCAATGACGTTGGTGAGTGGTGCTCAATGATCTGTGTGCAGCAATTCCACAGCAATTCCACGGGGAGTTGGGGCTCCGTAGCGATAAATATCACTTCGAAGAACATGTTTGGGTAACCCTGTGAAGTTTGCCGACATGGGATTAACGTTTGATGGGTTGTTGGTGGGTTGCTGGATGCCCCTTCGATATACTGCTGTATGCAGTCACCACGAGAAACGATTTCCAGCTGTTAGGTTTCAGTGACATTGCTGTGGGCGCTGTCGTTCCCGCTTTCGTACAGCAGCACCAGGCAGCTGTCGAATCAGTAAACCTTGGGCGAGTTGTGTTGCAGAGCGAGAAGGGCGGCAACACAGCGTGCGAGTCGCACCAATCTCCAACCTCCGTCACGCACCACAGGGAAGGCAGCTACAAGATGCGAGCAACAGCTGTTTGATGGCATCGCTCTTGGCGTTGTCATCCTCACTCCCGTAGCATACAACAGCATCAGACCACGTCAAATCAGTCAAGCTTGGGCGAGTTGTGTGGCAGAGCGAGAAGGGTCTCAATCCAGAGTTCACGAGCTGCTGCATGATATCTACTCGTCAGAGGCAGTCGCACCCGAAGACATCTGGAACGATGGAGAGTTGCACTTAGTTCTTGTTTCCGAGACTGCAGATACAGGGAATACGATGTGAACCGCACGAGCGTGAGCACATGAACAACACAGGGAATTCAGGGTATAATGGGTGCTCCCGAAACAAGGTGTCCTCACAGATACGGCGAGAATACTGTCGACATGTAGGAACGACTTCCCCCGTGATCGCCGATTGGCGACGGTGCAGAGAGAGAGAGAGAGAGAGAGAGAGAGAGAGAGTGCATGCGCCTAACAGAGAGGCTTCAGGCTACAAGAAAGACTTCATGAACCACCGGTTACAGTACATCGTAAATTGTCCTTGAACATCACCGAAGCATCTTCAATAGGAATCTAAAGTATGTTCACAAACCACGAAAACGGCAACACAAGCCAAACATGCAAATAGACGAAGCTTCCGCAAGCCAAACAGTCAAGGTGTTCCACGTACAGAGCACCATCCACTTAACAGACTACGTTACGTCAACGAACAAAACGTCATGCAGAAAATACTGTCAGCGAGGATCAGTGCAAACGGTTGATACCTGCTGAAACGGTAAACAAGCAACGGGGTAACGTACCCAAATCGGGCCCAACCACTACAGTAGGACTACAGGGGTGTGGGGGAGCGCGGGGGGAGCCGCACCGCCGCCAACAACACCCACTTCCTTCGCTCACCGCACCGAATATTACATGGGACACACGTACACAATGTTTCACACTGCAGCAGCAGCACCACCCCCATCGTCCTGTGGCGGGGAGTCCGACTCTGGCGGTTCTTTTCTCGCAGAAGAAGCGGGCTGTTCTTTCGACAACTCAGCCAGAGTCGTCCGTAAGAAACGGGCCTTTTCGTGGAGAAGCTCGAGCTCCTTTCGCGGCCCGTATATACTCCGCGGATACGGCGTGTAATCTCGAATCAACTCCGCCTTGGATGACAGCGTGCCGTGCACGGACGACACCAACTCTAAGAATTTCTTGATTGAAGCCTCGACCTTGGAGCTATCCAACGACTCCACCCCGGCGAGCTCGTCCAGCGCGTCGGCGGCGACCTCCAACAGCTCCGCAACCTTGCCCTCGGCTTCGTCCAGCTCCTCGAGAAGGGCCGCGTTCTTCGCGATTGGACAAGAGTCTTCTTCACCGCCGACTTGCCCTTCCATCTTCACTGCCACTCCAGCATCCTCGATTGATGATGCGCCCTTCTGACTGTCAGTAGTGGCGTCCATTGCCCGAGCCTTGCACAGCAGCGGATTGATCAGCTGCTTGCTCTGTCTGCTGTGAGCATCGGCAGTGCTGGGGGCTACGCAGACGTATCCAATATTGGTCGGTACCTACGTGCTGGGGACCCGCGGACACTCTTTATGTCGAGAGCGAGCGCACCGACGAGGCACACACACAGCAAGGAGAGCTCGGAGGACAGAGCGATACCAGCCGCAGGCATGGCGGACGTGGACGCCCTGCCCGAGGTGAGGGAAACAAGCCGTGGCCAAGTAATCGTTGTTCGTCCTCTGGCTTTCTCGAAGGGTGTTTGCACTTGTGAAAATGCCTTCCGCCGAAACCTGATGGCCCACATTAGCCGTGGATGTTGCACGAACGCGGCTGCTGTGTATACTGCGCCCCCCCGTATCCCATGGGCAAGCATGCGATACCCTGGTGAAGATTCGCACAGCTTGCCTTTGTTGTTTGAGTTATTCAGTCAACGCAACGTGCGGTTGTTGCCGCTCTCATTTTCTTCGTTTCTGCCCGAGATACTCGTGTCCTCGCGCGCCGTTCCCCATGGACAGCAGCAGTGAACCCATCTCTCTCTCTCTTCGCCGTGCTGACATCCCAGGTCCCGCCGGGGGCCGAGGATAATGCGGTACCCAAGGCCGATTCCGCGGCGGTGGAGGCGGAGGTCGACCTGTCGATGTTCGACCTGAGCAAGAAGAAGAAGAAGAAAAAGAAGAAGGTCAAGACCGAGGGGGACGACGAGGCGGGCGGGGGAGACGGCGAAGACAGGGAGGAAGGAGAGGGGAGGTACAACTACGAGACGTTGCTGGAGAGGATCCAGGTGCAGTAGGAGCGGTGGTGATCGGGTGGCACTGCTGGTGTTTGCGGGTGGCGCGCACCAATCAAAGATGTGGGATAAAGTTGTTGTGCGGTATGCATGTGAAGCGATTTTCACACCGCTAGCGCTCGATTTTTGTTCGTGGATGTGATGTGGTACATCACATGCATGTTCGAGAATCCTGCTTTGGGTACCTGCAACACTGCCGGCGATAGCACTCGTGGCTGTTGCACAGCAGTAGGGTGCTGGCTGTTTCAAGTGGCCGGTTTTGATGTAAGCTGACCAATATTGCGCCTTTTCTGATACCTCAATGGATTGCAGCAAGTCCAGATTATACCTTCTGAAATGTCGCGTTTTGACATAACATCTCCATGTGTTCCATAAACGCGTACACCAAAAAAACGTAACGCGTGGACTCCAGTTGCCCTCCCAGCCCTCCAGTCGCCGTTGTACACAAAGGCTTAGTGTTAGGGTTGTATCATACTGAGATACATTTGGGGGGAGGAAGGGGGGTGTCTCCAACAAGGCGGTTTGACATGTGTGAATGCCCTTCTTGAATTGCAGAACCTGCTCCACGTCAACAACCCGGAGCTGGCCGAACGCAGTCGCATCACGCTCAAGCCGCCACAGCTCATGCGCATGGGAACACGGAAGGTGCGCCGCCATTCGTTGGCCAGCATAATATTCTAGCGTCTGCCCCTTCGGTGTGCACCTTTTTTTTAAAACGAAACCGGCCAGCCGTCGTGACTTGACACGTGCGTTCGCGACACTATCCCATCGGCATTTTTATACCAGTCCGGACGAACCCAGCCCATTGCAAGGATAGACTGCTGTATGGGTGTGTTTGGTTTCGGCCACGTGGCGGTCGGAAGGAGTGCACGCATACCGGTGCTGCGCCTGCATCACCAGGAGACCGAGGGGGAGAGAGTGATATGAGCCAGACTGTCAGTCAGTGTCTGGTGCTTTGCCAAGGAGGTCACCATTTCATGTCTCCTCTGCGCGTTCGCTTCGATTGCGCGTCTGTCGCATCTGTCGTAAGGGTCTCATCCGCAGTAAGGTACCTGAACGCACTCAACAGAGATTTGCAGCAACTGCTGTGGCCCCCTCGGTTGGCGCTGTAGCTCCTATCCACATTTTGGCCCACCATTGTAGGCTTGAAAATGCCTTGCTCTTTCCTGAGAGCATGAGCAGCATTACGTGCCCTTGATTGTGCTCGAGTTATTGGTCTATGATCGAAGATGTGAAAGAACCTGAATGGTTACCAACTACTGGTGTTGACCATCGTTTTACCACACACCCATTGACTGAGACCAAGCCGCAAAGTTGTTCCTTTTGATGCGTTTGTTTCCCCGACTTCATTGTCCATTTTGCCCCAAACCGCAGAGTCAAACCGAATACCACATGTGTACGTAATCGACAATCAGCGCATGCGATCGTTGTCGCACATGCTGTGCATGAGAAAATGCAATGCAAACCTACGCACTATCAACATTTCTTGCGCATTTGCAACTTTGCACAGCAGATTCTTGATTACTCGGTTTTTTATCGGAAGTGGGAAAAAATCACATGAACCGAGATTCAAGCTGAAGCACTACCAAAATCGCAACAGCAACGGCCTAAGCTGGTGATTGTGTTTCGGCCGGTCTTTGGCTTGGGTGTGCAAATGAATTTTGTTGTCCTACGTACGCTGCCGATTTAGCTGTGCATGACAAGCAGGTATCCATCGCTCGATAGCAGCCCTGCGGTCTATGATCGAAGATGTGAAAGAACCTGAATGGTTACCAACTACTGGTGTTGACCATCGTTTTACCACACACCCATTGACTGAGACGTTCTGCTTGAAGATCATTCAAGTCGGGGGGGATGCAGGATGATCGATATGCAGGCGCCTCGAGGCGGAGGACGCATTCATTTGGTGGTTTCGAAATACTTCGAGAAGTACAGAAATCACGATGACGCCGAACATACTGCTCTTTGTGTAGTGTCAGGTATTGTTCCCTGTGACGAAAATATGCTGTTGGCGTGCCGATTTGGTGCTTGTTTTTGAGTTGTTGGCAGTCTTGTGGATCGCAACAGACACACGAGGAGGCCGTTTCGTCAAGGGTGACTGACGCCTGCTGTGTCAAAGCGGTCTAAGGACCTCGGGGTAAAGATTGTCCCGCAGTAAGGTTCGAAATCATCGCGTGATCACAGGGTACGGCTCGTCTGTGGGGAGAGTTGTGCGGGGATGACACAAGAGTGCGCAGCGGGTTTCGTGTCGATTTTTGTTCAAGGAGAGCACAGTAAGAACCGAGCACACACAGGAGACCGTCCCCTCGTGAAGTATTTTGAGTGTGCTCTTGGCCTATGTTCCGCATTAGTATCGGCCTTTTGTTGCTGTAGTGTAAACGAAGGTGTTGGTTTACGACAGCCCCGCGGGTCCATGATCGAAGATGTGAAAGAACCTGAATGGTTACAAACTGCTGGTGTTAACCATTGTTTTACCACACACCCATTGACAGGCCAGCGCGCGCCTGCCACTCATCGATTCTTGGCACTGTTTGCAACAGGCTTACTTCCACGCTTCAACGTATCTGCTGCAGGACGTATTTGGCCGTCCTTTCTTTTCAAGACGCGTCGTCGGTGTTCACATGGCTTATTTGGAGTTTTTGTCTGGATGCGCGCGAAGGGCTGATGATCCATTTAAAGTTTGAGAACTGAATCTCTCCTCTCAGTGGAGAATGGAAGATAACATATCCGAATGAAGCCCGAGATTTGCTGTTTGTGCCGCACCAGTTTTGCTGTGAAGAAAGTTGCAAGGGTGTGTTTAGTACATACTGGACGTACTCGAGTATTTTACTATACTCTGCTAACAGTAGGTTTAGTACAGCTTTCGATACTGTACTAAAACCTACCATACGCTTTAGTACAGCCCTCGGTACTGTACTATACTCCGGGTTTAGTATTGGGTTTGGACCGGTACTATACTCGGCTTAGTACAGTATTGCTGAAAATACTGTACTATACTTTTGGGTTTAGTACAGCTCTCGATACTGTACTAAACTTACTGTACGCTTTAGTACACCTCTCCGTACTGTACTGTACTGTAGGTTTAGTACATCCCTCGATACTGTACTATAATCAGTAGTACGTTTAGCACAGCTCTCCATACTATACTATAAATCAATAGTACGTTTAGTAGAGCTCTCCATACTATCAGTACTGCTGTACTCTACTCGTTCGGGTATTAATCCGGGTATCTACCCGGATCTGCCCGGATTCCGGCCAAAGGGTGTGTTGATGACGTCATTCTTGCGCAGATGCGGCGTGTTTTGGTTCTGTGTGTGTGTGCGTCCACACAGAGTCCGTGCTCTACTCAGGGTACTCGAGCAATAGCAATAGTAGTAATAGTAATAGTAATAGCAGTAGTACCCGACAGGGGAGGTAGCAGCCATGAGTGAGGCCGCTGGCAGTTCCTCAGCAACTCTCGATCCGGGTGCGACCGAGTCTGCCGATCACGCGAGTATAGCACAACCACTACAAGACGCTCCGGGGGGAGGAGCTTCGCAGCAGCAGCAGTCGAACGCGGTATTGTCTTTCTATTCGTGTTGTTTTCGGTCTTTTTGCTTCACTTGAACGCTTCTTTTCTGTGTGCGTCCTGGTACGCTTTAATATGGGGTCTCCATACTGCTGTACTGTCCCCAAAGTGAATAATATGCTTTAGTACAGCCCTCGATACTGTACTATCCCGATAGTATGTTTAGTACAGCCCTCAATGCTGTACTATAATCAGTAGTACGTTTAGTACAGCTCTCCATACTATACTATAATCAATAGTACGTGTAGTACAGCTCTCCATACTATACTATAATTAATAGTACGTTTAGTACAGCCCTCGATACTGTACTAAAGAGTACGTTTAGTACTACAATCAATACTGTACTAAAAATACTGTACTGTGCTAAACACACACGTGGAAAGTTGCATACTTTTCGCCCGCTTGTTCGTCACTTTTGTGACTTACCCCGATCCTTTGTGCGAAACCAAACAACCGTATCGCGAAACTGGATTTTTTTTTTTTCACCCGTATAGATTTTTTTTTCTTTTTTTTTTCTGTCTCGTTCTTGCTAGCAGCTAGCAATCGCGTTGTAGCGGCCTTGAAGTCACGATCTGATTGTTGTGCCGTTTTTGCTGTGAGAGTGTCTCAGAGCTTATTTGCTGTGTTTTCGGTCGATGATGCAAGATGTGACGCCAAACCAAACGCTTTGTTTCCGGGTTTTGGGAAGTACCCGTACATATCCCGATGTTATCAAAATGCCGGCATGCGAAGAGCATGCCGGGCGCCATTAAGCGGTATCGATCACTCCTCCAGTGCAGTTACGTCGCATCACAAACAAGGCGTCTGGACGGTTGACAACAGTAGCGCGTGCGTGCCGTAGCTAGCTTGTCCAGTCAAGGCGAAACAAACGCAGCTCAAACGCTGTATTCTACCTTTTTCGATCAAGGCAAAACAAACCCAGCTAAGAAGCTGTATTCTACCTTTTTCGATCAAGGCAAAACAAATCCTCACCAGAAAGCAGTCCCCTATCGAATCTCTGCAGCAAGTGTTCAAACCAGTGTCTCCACATGTGTCCATCCCAGCTATACTAATGTATATGCCGGGCTCAGCATGCAATGTGCGTGATATTCGAGGCAAGGGAGTTTTTATCAGTGCGTTTCGTGCCGTTTTGATGGAGCTGAGCGCTGCCGCCACCGCTGTGGGTTCGGCCGTCGACACGACTGAGCGCATTGTCGTCGCACGATGGCGCTGCACGCGTACGCGCCTACGGCAATCCTGCGCGCCTTCTTGCCCCCCGCCCGCACAATGTGGAGTTACAATTTTTTGCTACTCAAAGCAGAGTACAGGAAGAGATGCTGCGAATGAGGAATCCCTATTAACAACTTTATCGCCGTCCGAGTGCGTACTCGCCAAGCAAAACTGGGGAAGAAAACTGATATTTGCAAACCTCTGGCGTATACTTTGGATGTTGATATTGGTCCTTACCGGAAACTGGAAGCATTTCGTGCGGAAACGTGGCAGACGCTAAATGGTCGGGCAGCCTTCAATTATGTTGACCATCGTCTACCACAATCATACTGATTTGAGACCGGAAGGAGGTAGCTTTCGGGCTGCATTTGTCGTGGTGTTGCGTCGCTGAAGAAACAGCGCGGAGGGAAAGAGCGCTGTACATGTTGTCTTTGGTTTGTTTTTTGCGAAAATGGTTGGAGTGCTGTGCAGCCGAGCGTTGTTTTGTTCGTCTCCGCAGATTGGCCCGTCGTGCTTTTGTTCGTGATATCTACCTTCAGTTTTGTCACTACCACAGAACAGTGAGCAATCAATCCTTTCGAAACGGTACGTTTTTGAGACAAAAAGCATCGGCGTGCCTCGTTGTGCGTTCTCAATCCGCAGGAAGGATCGGTTCATGTCCTGTGTCGTAAATCTTGAAGTTTTATGTTACGCTGCTGTGTCCACCCGTTCTGTGGATGTCGAAGATATTCAATGTCCGAAGTGTCTTCAAACCACAAATATGTTGAGTTGACCACCGTTCACCCGTGGATTTAAGAGAATTTGGCTGATATGTTTCACCCTCTTTGGGCTGTTTCAATAACATCGTCGGTCACACCGCACGGCAACATTTTTTTTGTCGCCTTTTCGTATTTTTTTCGACTCTCGCATTACGGTACGCAGAAACTTCGTTCGATGTGTCGTACCGTATTTCGTCGTTGAATTGTTTCGCGTGCTTGTCTCGATTGTGGTAGCTTTGCGGCGAGCACTGATTTAGGTCTATGATCGAAGATGTGAAAGAACCTGAATGGTTACCAACTACTGGTGTTGACCATCGTTTTACCACACACCCATTGACTGAGACCAACGGTGGCTTTCTCGCCTCTTTTATGTTTTTTAGTAATTCAGTATGTCTGTCAAGCACTCCGTGTTGTCTTGTGTGTCAGGTATACGGGCTCCAAAAGCGTGTTGTTTTCAGAGCCTAGCGTACGGCACCTCGTCAGGTATGCCTTTGTTGTCTCTGCAGTTTTTGCCACCTGGTGGTAAATGGTTGGGTTTCCTCTACTCGTTTCCTCTCTTATCCGTCCGCATAACCGTTGCTACGACGGGAAAGTAAAGCAACGATCGGGGTGGACGGGTAGTGCCATCCACACGTTGCGCTTTCTACGGAACCTCTCGCCGTTCCTCGAGAAGGATGTTCAGTACGCGCGTGTCTCTCACCACTTCCTACCGTCCTTCCGTGTTTCGTTTCGCCGCAGACCTTGTGGGCGAACTTCCAGGACATCTGCCAGCTGATGAAGAGGCAGCCGGAGCACGTCTTCTCCTTCGTCGTGGCGGAACTGGGAACGGAAGGTTCCATCGACGGAAACCAACGCTTGGTCTTGCGAGGTCCGTCCCTCTCCATTTTTTTTTTGGACGTTTATTTTTATGCGAGTTTGCCTGTTTTCATTGACCAGTACCGCCTGCGTTGCACGGTAGGTCCGATTGCGCCATTGGTTCAGCGAATGGAAGGCGATGGGGCTGCAACAAAGAAATGTGTTTGTGCTTGTTCTGATGGCGCGGCTTTGTTGGTTTCATCGCCTTGGTCCTTGCCAGGTAGATAGATACCCTTGTGGCCAGCGCATTGGTTGGGCACGTTTGTTCATTCTACAATCCTGCTTGTTACGTAGACCAATACGCACGCGGTGGTTGAAAGTTAGCCCTGTGCGACGTCGTCAATCATCGGCGTTGTAGGAAAATGCGCTGTCGAGGTTGTTCGCGGACTCACCGGGTGCAAGGAGGCTGTTAGAACCGGGACGGTTGGCGGTGTTGATGAAGGTGTCGCAGATGTGCTTGGTGCTGGTCCTAAGCACTCATAGGCAACCATGCCACGCCCCCCGCGGGCCGTGCATATGATGTGCCCCCCGGGCCAGACTGAGCCGATCTCGCGACACGAACAAGTGGAAATTATCGCATGCCCTGTCCTCGTGCTGCGTGATGCTTTCGATTTTCGCTCGCGCGATGCTCGACAACGCGCTGATGTCGCCGCCGCCGCCGCCTCTGCAGGGAAGTACGTGCCGAAGTACATCGAGTCGCTCCTGCGGAAATACATCGTGGAGTACGTGACGTGCCAGATGTGCCGCAGCCCTAACACAACCCTCACCAGGGATCCTGTGTCGCGGCTGTTCTTCGTGCACTGCCAGGTGAGAACGAGAAGGAAAATAATGGCACCCTTGTGTGCTTGGTCGTGTACGCCAGGAGTTACTGACGTGTACATGTTGTTCCGCCTGTTGTTTTTCTTTCATGTCGCTATGTATCGCTTTTATTGGCGTAAGGACTTGTCGCTATCGTTTGTTTTTCCAACATGTTTAGTCTTGCTGAATAAACCGCGTTTTCGTTGTGCGAGCCCCCCCCCCTCCGATGACTGCCACTCGGGGCGCATGCAGACCCGCACTTGTCCAAGCCATACCGTATCTTTTTTCCGTGATGTTGTTTCGTGCCACCGTTTCAGGACTGTGGGTCGAGCCGGTCTGTCGCACCCATCCGCTCCGGATTCCACGCGCAAACGCGCGCGGACAGGCGTGCGCTGCGGAATGCGGTCAAATAAAAGGGTGTCGATTTTGGATTTGTTTCGGAGGGGGGGGGTGGGGGTGGCCCGCAAAGTCGAAAGGTCAAGAAGTGTATGCGCCCCCTCGCGCCCCCTTTGTATTGTGTCTTGTTAGGGAGAAGCTGGATGACGAGCGTGTTTCCGGCGAAGCGTAGTGGCCACGGGCAGGATAGCACGGTGTGGTGCGTTTTTTTCCATCAAACGGATAAGAGGATCACAGGCTCTGTAGGCAGGAGCACGCGTGCATGGATGCATGCAGAGGAGACGGGCGACGTTCTCCTACTGGGTCGCCAGACGGCTGTTGCGCTGTGGCGACTGACGGTGTAAAGCTGTGTTTTTTGATGTTCGTGTTTCAACACCCATCGAGAACGACGGTATCGGAAATAGTGGGTTCATATGCGGATACGCTTGGTTCAACGCATGAAGACGCTGGGCATGAGTTGGTAGCCACCGGATAGCGACTAAAAGGAATGAACAGACCCTCGTCCTGTTTTTAGTTTGTCAGCTCTGCCAGGTCAGCATTGGCATCTCGTAGGGGGTCGAATGTTGCTTTGGCTCCAAACATCGATCGCAGGACCAAGAAGCTATTTCCAAATCCGTTATTCTGGCAAAGAAAGAAATTCAGCAATGTGCAGGCAGTCGAAGACAGCAGCAGTATTTCGTACCAATTGTGGCGGGGCTTTTGAACATGCTGGAACATGACACACTGATGTACACGCCCGACATTCCGTGGGTGAGTGTGGTGTGTGTAGATGCAGGCGAGGCCGATGATGGCACCGTTTCCTCAACGCATCCGCCCTCATTTTCTTTGACTGATGGTACTTACCAGGTGTCTTGAGGAATGAGCAGAAATTCACCAACAACACGCGTCTGAAACGTATCAGCGATGTGCATCACGTTGCTTGCTTGGCCGTGGCCGTCCCTTGATTTTTCGATGCTGAAAAACCATGATGGCGTCTAGACTACAAACTGTCAACGTGGGACCACTCCAGGAACCTTTTCGCGAGTACACACATCCAACATGCTTCATTCAGCGTTTACGAATACTCACTCTGCATAATCTGCTTGGCTAAATGTAACGGACGGGGGTCGTGTCTCGCTGCCAGTGGCAGCCGTCAAGCCCAGCCCTTTAAATTTTGTCCTACGTGGGCGAATGAAACTGAAGTTCGAGCTTGAGGATTATTATTAACAGTTTGGCTTCAATCGTGCTTCCGCCGCGTGACAATACCTAACCCTCCTGGTTGATACTCTGTAAGCAGCCGGGACACAACTTCGAGACGCCGCAGTGGGGCAGTTGCTATGGGTAGTTGTCATTGGAAAATCTGACACGTTGAGGACGTGCCCAAAGAAACAGAGTGCGCCCAGCGCCTTGTTACTCCCCCGGTTGTTACTCTCACAACAGTTTGGTTCACGGTAACCGCACCACCGAGAAGATCGGAAAGGCGATCGAGGCGGTGGATCTTCCCCCCACCCCCCGCTTCGCAGTCACATGATGCTTTAATCCCTCTCTTGGAAAAGAACGTCTCGCAGTACGTCGTTGGGGCCCGCCGATCTTCTTGTACGCTGAACCAACAAAGCGACGTGGCGGCGAGTCGCCCCTTGAGATAGATGGACGTACATTTGTTTTTGCATAAAGTACACCCTCCCGCGTGTCCACGACGCATCTGATGACACACGGAAGGGTGGAGGGATAGGGTAATAAAGTCGGCACATACCACTGACAGTTGGAAACTCAAAACAGTTAATCATACTCTCTCATCAGCCTCCGAGTCTTGCGGACGAGAACATGCGTATCCAAGACCTCCGGCGAGACAGACCGCAAAGATCGCGGTCACGTGGATCCTTACCAAATACACTTGATCTACATATATAGCATCTGCTGTGCAACATGCGTTCTTTTACTGGCAAACACACACACCGCTTGAGCCATCTTTCTTAGCTTGCCTCAGGGTCTGAGGTTCGCCACCCTGCCCCTCTTGTCCAGGCGGCTGGGAGAGCTGGCGAGCGGGAAGCCTGTTGAACGATAGGTTCCTGCGGCGTTTTTGTACGGGGTCCGGGGCGACAGAACCCCCTCCCCCAGGGACTACCGTACCGCCTTCGCGGAAGAGAGAGTATCCCTTAAGAGGGCGGGCAGCCGACTGCTGTCTCTGTTCCAGCTCGGCACATTCACAGCATCCCATACTGCTGAGCCTGTTGAAAATTCTCGTTGCGTCATGAAATTCACCATGGCGTTGACGCTGTTGGCGTTCGGGAACGCGCAGGCATTTTTCGTGTTTGCGCCGTTGAGTTGGAGGACCGCTGCTACGGCTGTCATGGGCACGTCGAGCGTGTGCCGAGCTGAAGATTGGGCTGGGTTCGCACGGCGACGCTCCGCTGGCTTGTGTATGGCCACGAGTTCGGAGCTGGACCAGAGCGCAGAGTGAGCATGAGGCATGGTGTTCGTGGTGGTGTCCCGTTTCCCTCGCATGCCATGTGGTGTGTCTCCCAGCTCTCCTGCCAACCGCAGGCGACGGTCCGCGTGCATACAATGCGATGATCATGTACATACCTACGACGTATCATACGCTCTTCTTAGACGCTCTAGGGCGAAGCAGGATGCTTGGTGAGAGGCTGTGTATGACTAGTTCATTTCCTCAAGAGGAAGCATGATTTGAAACCGGGTCGTTCGTCGTATGTCTCGCACTCGCACATTCGGCGTTTGAACTGCAACTTCACCTCCGAACAATCCAGAGCGTGCCCGTGCCGGGATTGCATCAAGTTCCGATCCTCAGGTGCACTGTCGGGGTCAATCGACACAAAAAAGAAGTTGCAATTGGAAAGTTGGGGCTGCAATCCATGAGGTGTTCCGTGCAACCTAAACAACGACAAGCCGCGAAAGGAGTAGGTAGAACTCCGGGTATTGATGCTGTGGTACTGCTGTAGACTACTGCTGTAGAACATGAGACTTGTCGAGAAACGAAGAGGTCGCAGGGAGGAACATCTATGACCAAGCTGCGGCAGACAGACAGCAGTTGGGCATTCTGTAGAGCGAAATGTAGTCTAGCAAGAGAGCAACCACCTGCGGGGTAATGGTCTCAGCACAACAATAGACACAGCAGGAGGAACACGAAGCAGTAGATATTATGTCGTTTGATCCTATTTCAAGACTGCTGTGGGTATATCTCGAACGGGTTTGTGTGTGTAATTATTTTTCCTATTATTTTAGTCCTCTTCGTAACGGGGCGGAGAGCGGTTGCTATCGTTCCGCGCCGCGGGCCAGAAAGCGTGTTTCGGTCGTATTTGTTGTCATCCCTCGACCAGACTGATGCCATTTGATTGATCAGTCGGTTGGCACTGTCGGCGCTTACCGAAGAAACCCACAAATATACCGACACTGTCTGCTGCTTGCTTTCGTGGCTTTCCATGGTCACCGAGTTTGCCGTTGGTTGTCCTTTTATAAGCCTGTAGCGTAGTGTCGAAATGCCGCCGTTCTTTCACAAGAAAAACAACTCCGACTGAAACAAGCTGTAGCTGTGTGATGACGGCCTTGTTCGGCGCATGCTACCAACAAGCAGGAGCAACGTATCCACGCTGTCCACGTAACGCCATGAATACATGTAGAGAGCAACCTCAGGGGAAGGCGGCTCTTGATACTGTCTACAACAGCATAGACCCAGCGTGGGGTGCTTGACGCCGTTAGGTTGGGTGCGTTGTGCACAAAAATTTCACTGTGACGGTTTTCCACCAGCTTACGGCTTGTGGTTAAGTCTCGCGAGGAAACCAGCTTTCTTCAGCAGACAGTTATCTAGTCCAGCGCGTGCCTTAGTTGGCTACGCATGTTTTCTCTCTTCACCAAGGTGATACTCCAGTCTTGGCTGGTGAAATACGTAGGACTAGGCCGCAACCACACTGGCACTTCGTTGCCCACGTCTACAGCAGTGCTTTGAAATTGACTGTCTGTTGCCACCGTCGATCTTACAGACACGTCGAGACGCGCATCCACGAAGTTCGTCTAGAAACAGTAGTTCACGTCCATGGGAGAGAGTTGTGAAGCAATGTATGCATCAATCGCTCAACTTTTAGAACACCTTTCACGTCCTGCAATGACCAAGTTTTCAAATTGGCTCACTTTGTTTGACAGTTGCGGTTTTGTGCTCCCTCGTTTCAAATCTGAACAGGTACGTGAAGGCGGAGCTAGCCAGGGTCCAAGAGGAGTACGAGGCCAACCGAAAAGCTAAGGTGCGCACAAGTATCTCTATGCGGCGAGACCAGGTCGGAAAACGTGTCGCGGTTGCGACTTGGCCAGCCCTCAGCAACAGCTCTCGTTGGGACTGGTGGGACCTGCGCACGGTCTCAACCTGTTCTTGGCGACTAGAACTATGATTACGAGGCGTGAGAACCCGACCGGAAGGCTATGATGCGAGCGGCGAGATCTGGCCGGTGTGACTGTTTTGTCAACTCTTGCGTGCTACCCTAAAAGCAATGATTCCCCAGTCCTCCCCCGCGCGGCCTCTGATTTGTATTGCTGAGTCGTAGGGCAAGGGACACAGGGCAATGGGTAGTGTCTACACGGCAATGGATGTCAGAGTTGATGCTTGTGTGCCTTATGGCCATGGGTGATTTTTGGCGTGTTCTTGTTGCCGATTCTTTCTCCCCGGGCGACAGATGAAGGAGCAGACGCGACAGGCGGCGGCGAGAGGGGATGCCGCCGTGACCCCCCTCGCTGACCTGGAGTTCCATTCCTTCCTGGACAAGGACGGGAAGGTGGCCTCGATAGACACGAAGGGCGTCAAGGCTAGCGTCTACGCAGTCTACGACGAGGTGAGGAACACGCCTGCCTACGCCAGGTGGTGCAGACTGCGGTGCTACTGTACGCGGAGCAAAAACCCTGTACCGGCCGATTGTGTCCACGGCCGGCGTTCCGCAGCTGGGAAGCGGTCTTTATTTTGCGGTTGTCGTCTTCGTGATAATAGTTTTCCCTCTCTATTGTACGGAGATCATACGCATACGGAGGGAGCATCTACACCGAGATCATGTAGAGAAAGAGAGCGTAGGCCTCCGTCGTGAGACACCGGTGACACCAAAAATCGACGAAAACATGATTTAGTGCAGCAGATCCTGACAACACACATGGCAAAATTCATATGTCCCTTTGGCGGTCGTTATTTCACGTGTGCAGTGATAACTTTCCGGATGTGGGCCACCAAGGGCGGTAACGTTACGAGGCCCTTTTGTTGTTGTGGATCGATCAAGGTCTAGATGTTAGCTCGTCCAGGGGGGGTGTAGTGGTGTTTTACGGAGAACTCGGGGTCCAGGCGGACAAAATTAATGATCCACCGTGCACCGTAGGTGTCTTGACGGTGGCATGGGCTGTTGGGTTGGGCCGCTCTGCTCGTGTGACTTCACCTTGACGAAACGAGGTGGTCCGTGAGGGTTCAATGACGCTTGATGCATGTGGCGCGCTTAGACACCGCTGCGAACAACGCGACTCCGCACTACCGTAGTATATTCACCGAGATTGCCCTTGACTGAGCGCTGTTTGCACGGCTCGTGCCCTTGTCGTTGCTCGACCACGTCGCCGCCCGCAACCCATCCGGCAGTCCAAGACACTGCGTTACATCGGAGTGTCGCGCGGGATTCAGCAGAGCCTCCGCTTGAGTCTGGCCCGCCGTCCGAAGGACACGTACTACTTCAAGGTGTGCGTGCGCGTCCTTTCTCGACGGTTTAGAAAGTCAATATATTAATTTTGCGGGAGATACTGCTGTTTTTTCTTATGGGAGGCTGTTCCGTCGTTTGATGAAGGCCATTGGTTTCTGCTGGATCCATGCGCCGAAGTGTACTGCGACTCGTGCTTTTTGCAGATGGAGATTGTTGTTTGTCAATTATCAACTTGTGTCTTTCTCAACCTTTGCTCGCGGAGGGAGGGGACGTGCTAGCGCGCGCCGCCCAAAATATCGATGCCCGCGGTGGGGTCCATGCTGGTGTATCCTTGTTTGTCGATGGCTGGCTGGCGGGGTCAGTGGCCAGAGTTGTACCCAGTAATATATCTCTATACCCATGGGTGATGTTTGGGGTATTGTGCGATTTGGAGGTGTTTAGTGGCAAAGTTTTGATACCACGTTGTTTCTTGTCCCATGTGATTGGTGCAGGTGCAAAACATCGCGCGACCCAGCCGATCTCTGCTGGAAATCATCAAAGAGTCTTGGATAGAGGAGAACGGCTCTACGCCCGACGGCAACGCTGACGAAGCCAGTCAGGTGCGGTGGTGCTGCACCTTTTGGATATGATCGTGGTGAGCTAATCCCATGCGAAAACGACAAGACTGCTGTAGCTGGCTTTTGAGACTGCGGTTGAAGGCGCGTCCTCACAAGTGCATTGTTCATTTTTTTCGACATGCCAGCCTCTCTGGGAATGCTCGTCCGGCTATCCATCAGGCCAAGGGCCAGTGTTCAAGGACAAGCAGCTTGTGTGCGCCACTGTCGTAAAGTCTTGACTGGAAATTCAGCGAACAACAACCCCACATGTTTGATCGTGGGCCAAGCCGAGACCATCCATTCTTGTTCTCCGAGCAAGTGCGCACAATGTGCTGGTCATGTTCCCTTTTCCAGCGAATGGAATTATGGCATTGTTTCTCTGCCAATCTTTCTCTGAACAACCCGCCGATGCTTCTTTTTTCTTGTCCTTGAAGGCGGTGTGGGAACACGCCATCAACGTGGTCCCGATGTTCACCGAGGAGGACCTGGCCGTCGTGGCAGAGTGGAAGGAAAAGGGGAAGGAAGACCGGGGACTCAAGAAAATCGCGGGCCGGTTCGAGAACGAAATTTTGGAGGTTCGTGCGTCATGTTGCGGCTCGTTCTTCGGAACGGTGTTTCTTCTCGCAGAGCACCTTTTTCTGATGTTTTTCTTTCCGACACCGCTGTCCAGACCGTTGTTTGTCTTCTCGTCGTCTCCGACGAGCTTTGAGGCCATCTTACAGATCGTTTCCGGCGGCCAGCTCTTTTTGGTCCCCTGTGCGTGTTTGATGTGCCGGTTGCGCAGCAAGGAAAAAAAGAAGTGCTGTTGTTCCAGTACACGTTTGGAGCGCCGCACTTTTGACACAAATTTGCCCATGATGCGTATGAAAGGACGTTTTAGACCTGTTATTACCGTAAGGTTACGAGTCGGCGCAGAGGGGTGCGATCGATTTCAAAGCGCAATTTTTCCATAACCAGGAGAGTGCGAGCGCCAACTGATATTTCTCCGGAAAGCTCTCGATGAGATATTTCCAATACCACCTTTTTCGACAGTGGCAACCTCCTTGTTGTGGAGAAATGACGCTTTGTGAATCGATCGCACCCCTGTGCCCTGACTCGGAATCTTACGGTACACACTTGTCTCGTTTGATACGAGGGAAAGAAAACGAGAATAAAATAGATGAATCATGATGTGGGTCCTTCACACGATTGCTGATTCTTCTTCCCGTCTATCTTTGTGCTGTGGATGCTGCCCGTGGCAGATCTTGGAGGAGCGGGGGTTGAAGGAGAGCATCCGGTTCGACCCCAAGCTCAAGGGAAGGGGGCTGCTAGATGTCAAGATGCCCAAGCCGGACAGCAGTGTGCCCAAGTAATCAAATACTCCAAGTAGCATTCCGGAAGTATGTCGCTGCTGTTTTGGTTGTGAACCGACAGTTTTGATACTGTTGGAAGAATGGTGTCGAACTTCCTTTGTGGGGCGTCTTAACGGTAGGTCTATTCTGCTGGCGGTGCACTCGAGCTCGGCAAACGGCGTGGAGATCACTTGGAACAACGTTGGATAGTGTTGTTTTACCTGGTACTGTGGGATTGTAGTTTACAAATTTTGTTTCCGTTCTGCACGTTTCCTTTGAACTCCTTTTCTAGAACGTGACTGACCGTGGTTCGATTGTTCAAACCATAACACAGCCGTGCAGCCGATGGCTGTTTCTTCCAAGACAAAATACGATCGTCTAAAGAGGGACGTACGCAGCAATGAAGGCTGCATCAAATGCACGCGAACCCTGCTCCGGCGATGCACCGCTGCCCGGTACAGCCCATGACACACTTGACTCACTACTGATAGGAGGACTCCCGCAAAGCATTCCCCAGCCTTCGAATCCCAGGAAAAGAGTTGCTGGCGAAGCGAAAGACACGGAGTAAGCCCTAGCGTAGAGAGTGAAACAGCCCCGGTGACGTCATGGGAATTTTGGAATGCCACCGACAGGCTCTTGCAACATGCACAGTGATCCACGGCTTACTTTGGAGAAGCCCGACGGCTGCAAGGCTGCAATAGTCGTACACACATATGCTGCTCAAGTTTTCAGATCAGTCGCCCTCTCTTCTACCCCGCCGCCCTCCGCTCTCGGCTCAACCGCGAGAGACAAGGCAATGGCTCGCTGGATGTCGTCGTCATCTTCTTCTCGTCGTTGCCCCGAGGGTGATTTTCCTTGCCACGAGGCGCTGCCTATGAAGTGCTGCCTCACGCCCCCCTTCACACCTCCTGCTGCGGTGCCCCCTTCCTCCCCCACACCTCCCCACAACCACGTCAACAGACCGGTATCTCGCGGACCCCCCTGCACGCCAACCGTAGCCCCTGTCCCCGTTCCCGAACGCCTCCCGATGGCTTCGACGTCAAGCGGTTTTTGGTCGGCTGCCGCCGGCGTTGATGTCGAGGATGCGAACTGCAGGGCGGCCTCATTGGGAACCGGGCGATATGGGTCATCTTTGTCGAACGGGTATACCCAGACCAGTAGTGTGCTCTCCGAGAGGGGGAGGTGGCGGAAAGCTGGGCCGCCGCCGCCGCTGCTCTTGCTACCAACAGAACGTTTTCCTTTGCTGCTTCCAGCGGAGCTGTTGCGTCTATTGGCGCTCTCGATGTCCTCTCCGGTGTAAGACAGAACAGTGTACCTGAAACGCAAGCACGACGTGTGTTGCGTGATGTGCCATACTCCACAAACATGTGCCAGCAAGCAAACGTAGAAAATCTGACCCTCCGCAAGCACAAGCCGTACAGGCGCTGAAAAAAAAATCTCCTGGCCTACCGAGTGCTTGCTTCTCTACATGAAAGGGGTACCGCTGGTGCCGCGGAACAAGTCAACCCCGCCAAGCCGGTCAAATCGGCCCGACTCTTTTGCAAACCTTGTAAGGTAAGCATGCACACACGTCCGGGACAATACGCACGGCATGGTTTGCCATTCGCTTGCTCACCTGGGCAAGGTCTTTCTGTAGCGGTACGTGAACTGAAGCCGTTCGCCCTGTATGCATACCTCCTCCTTTCGGGCGCGCTTTCGGGACTTGGGTGCTTCGGCATCCTTGTCGCCATTGCCAGTGGCGGAGATGACCCGCTCTCGAAGCAGCAGCTTAAGTTCGTCGAAAAGGGATGCATCCTGGAGATCCGAACCAGGCACGGCACAGAAATAGGGAGAGAGGTTCCCTACAATCGTTGTTTTAGTGCTTGTCTATCCAAAGCGTACAGTTTTGCGGTGGAATGTCAATGTTTCGTACTCGACAGACGACAGACAGTAGTCGGTGCTGCGTGCCTCAATCTACATAGCTGAAATGCCTCGATACCGTTTATTCATAGCTAATAGATCGTGCCAAAACGGCGCGCGGCGGCGGCGGGGGGTACATACAAGTGCACGCATCTTTTCCGACATCTTTAGTGCCGTAGAGCTCAACACATGAGCCTGACAAATCAAACAGAGGCTATTGCTTTCATGCACCAGTGAACAACAACCTCACCGCCGAAAACCACCCGATGTCCCTTGGCAGGATGTGGATCACAACCGGAAGCGTCCGCAGTCTGGATCTTCCAGCCACAAAGTTGATGTGTGTTCTCCCTTGCCATCGAACGTTGCTCGCCGCCGTCTTCTCCTCGTCATCCCACGATACGGACGTCATGATGGGAAGCCTCGGTGCGGCTCTCTCACATAGACAGCAGTGTTGGTATCGGATTCGCCGATTGCCGTCCCTCCAGCGATGGAATCGTGTTCGCTGGCGAGGAGAGCACGAACCCAGGACAGCTATCTATGATAGCTGTAGGCTGTAGGTTTCTTCCTCGTTCGCAGGGCGGGGTTGGAGCCGGAGGCTGGGCTGGCAAAAGAGAGACTCTACGCACGTTGAGACTCGGCCGCTTGGCCAGCTCTTCGTTCGCTCTCTGTCTCTCTGCTCTCTTGCTGCTCTTTCGCCGTTGTACTGCGGTGCTCTCTGCTCTCCGCTGCTGCTGCTGCTGCTGCTGCTGCTGCTCTCAGCTCTCAGCTCTCAGCTCCCAGCTCTCTGCCCTCTTTCCTTATTGGCTTGATATGGTTCTCCTCTGAACCAAACGGTTACGAATTTCCCGCCCGAACAGGTTATTGTGCCGTACTCTGCCCCTCATCACCTCATCGTCATACCCCTTCTTTGCTCCTCTCTCCACGTTTGTGTACACCTGCTCCCCATGGCTGGCAAAGCACACAACTCGGGGACTATTTTCCCCGAGCTATGTGTTGTACGGTAGGCAAGAATGAAGACACGTGATATTACCGTATCTTACATGTACGAAGTTTCAAGTTTTGCCCTGCCGCAGGAAAAAGAAGCGCAACGCAGGCAAGCATGTCCCTGTGCCCTGGTTCTGTGTGGGATATTTAACGTAGTCATGTGTCGAGCTTTCGTTTCCATTTGCTATGCAGTCCTGCGCATGCTCTAAGTGCCTGGTGCCTCCAATCATTTAGCGGTGTGTACGCGGCGAACAAACGTTAGGATTCGACTATGCGGGGAACCACGCGGCGGCTCTCACTCTTGATTCCGGAGCAAACTAGATGCGGGGAACCGTGCGGCGGTACTCACTCTTGTTTGCGGAGCAAACTAGATGGCTGAGGCTGGCTGTGGTTGGTTGCAGAAGTGGCTTTTCTGCGTGGCTCCCGGACGGGAGGTCTTCTGTTCAGGGCAAGTCCGAAAGATGGATTCAAATTACTAGAGATGGCAAGAGCGGTTCGACTGAAAAAAATTCTCGGCGGGGAGGTGTGCGTGTATTTATATTATTAATCGACCGCGCTAACCGGCTGACCAGTAATGAAAAGACGTCAGTCTCAGTGCGGTTGAAAACACAAAACACTTTTATCTGCCATGAACTGGGACCCCGTGAGGGGGCAGCATGGGGAAGGCTAAACTATCCTTCGGATCAAAGACAGAAACAGCAGCAACAGAAGAAAACTGCACGTGTCTACCAAGGCTACTTACTACCTTGTACTCGAGTTCGTTTTGGAGTACTTTCACCATTGTCCTCCTTGTGTTCGCTACCATCATTCTGATCCTCATTTTGACAAGAATCCCTGGGCAGTTTTTCCCTAGTCCTACGTTTCCTTTTGTGTGTGTGTGTTTTCGTCCTAGTATTTACTATGGCGACAGTCCCCCCATTTTTCGTGGTGAGACGTGTACTACACTTTTCAGCGTATGTAGAGTACTACACTTTTCAGTGTATTTTTTTGTACAACTACAACCATCCAGGGTCACACAGGAGGGGGTAAACACCAGGGCTTTTTTCTACTTTTTATTGCTTTTCATACCCCACCTTCCTCCTGCGGTGCATTCCTTTTTTTTTATCGCGAGAAGGGTCCAGCCGTCCCTCCCTCGTCAACGGTGCTAACGTCGAAGTTTGGTACTCACGAGAGCTTTTTAGCTATATTTCGCTTTCACCCGCAAATTTCGTAAATTTTTCACCCCACGGGGATTCGAACTCACGACCTCTGTGACTAGCGGATTACGAGGATACCACTAGACGACCGAAATGACGCGAACCTCTCGCCGCGAGCTCGAATCCGCTGTCTACTTCACAACAGTGCGTTGACTTGTCGCGGATGGCGCGAAGGACGCGAAGATATCGTTTATCTCGTGGGGGGGGGGGGGGCTTTGAATGCGCATTTGATGGCATGAAACATGCTGCTCCGTCTTCAAAGCTGGACAACACGATACACACGATAGGCTGATGTTCAGACGCGTCTTGGGTCTGACGTGCTTTCTTGCTTTCCGATCCAAATGTCACTCGTCGGGATACTTGTCGAGCGCGGGACCACAGTTCGCCAATACATAACCAGCTACGGCAGGTCGGTTTCGTTCTCGTGAACATGCTGCTGTCATGGAAGAAAACTCGCACACACACACACAGCGCCGTGATCAGGCGGTTGTACGATCGTTGCTACGAGGCGCAGCCGCAAACTGAATAATACATGTTCACTCTGGCGCGGTCCATGAACCCGTAATAACAGCGGGTTCCCTTTGGCGAACTGTCACACCCAAATGTTGTTCTACAACCAAGGTATCAACATTATATATTTCCCCGGCACATGCACTAAAGGACTCATAAAACTGTAAGCGCAGCCCTTCTTGCGCCGTCCCTAACCGCGGTAACAACCAGATCAGCACATCACCCGCGTGCTGCAACGCCTTCACTTTATCTCTCTTGTTTCAAGGCACCGCCGTCCAAACTCCACACGAGAAGGATATCAGCGTACTGTACCTGCCATTCAACAGCTAGTACTCAGACAAGGGCTATAAGCTTGAAAACAACAGCCCATCCTGCGCCGCCCCCCCTTATTGCGACCCAATTTAATCACCCACTTCTACCCAACGTTAAAATTCGACTCCCCTTACTGTGTTAACAACCACATCATCATCACAACGCCCGCCTTCTGCAAAGCTTTCATCGCTTTCCCCTTGTTTCAAGGCACCGCCGTTCAAGCTTCACACATGGAGGATATCAGAATGCTCTTCTTCCATTTCAACGGCATAGTATGTAGAAAAGGGCTCAATACTTGACAATAAGAGCCCATCCTGCGGCGCCCGCCCCCCTCTTTGTGACCCAATTGTGATCACCTACTTCTACAGAACATTAATTTACCGTTTGTTTTACAGGAGACATAGCGCGAAGGTACTAAGGACCCAAATGTCTGAGCACCTGTTCTTGTGGCTGCTCGTTACGTGTGTAAAAACGTGAACACATCCACATCACCCACCCGCTGTCCATCAATACTATCTACTGTAAACGCAGTCCTTTTTGCACCACTGCGTGAACAACCAGATCAGCACATCGCCTGATGCAAAGCCTTTACCGTTCCGCCAAAGGCAACGCCGTGCACACCTCGCCAGACCAGAATAATACTCTATTCCCATTCAATGGCATATCATGCAGAACAGGGCTTAATACTTGAAAAAAACAACCCATCCTGTGCCGCCGCCCCCCTTTATTGTGGCCAAAATATGATCACCTACTTTTACCCAACGTTGATTTACCAGCCGTTCACTAGGAGGAATAGCACAAATGCCCTACACCGCCAAATGTCTGGACCCTTGTTCCTGCGGTTGCTCATCACGTCTGTCTGTAGGAACGTGAACACAACCAAATACATCACCCACCCTCTGTCCAACAAGAATATTTGCAGTTCTCATTCGAACAGCATGCAAGGCACACACAAAGGTTCAATATCTTTTCTGGCACCTGCTTGGCATGTGTGTTTGTGAACAACTTGCTTTGATCGTTTCATATCTATATTGTACGGCACACGATACGGCGTCAGAGTAGAGTCCACGCAACCATTATGAAGTGCTTTTTCGGCTTGGAGAGCAAGCCCCACAAGAAACCACTTTTGTCACGTCTGTCTCAGGATTCGTGGCGGCACCACTGTTGTCACAACTCGGCACACCTTCATTAGAAGGTGGCACACAATAAAATCAAGGTACCCTGACACCCGTCGTCTTCGGTCATCGCACTTACAGCAATTACCCACGACAGCTTACGTCACCCACACAAAGGGCAGGTGGTAGTAAATACGCATACTCAAAGCCTATCATTGATTCAAGAGCAGTGACTTGAAAAAGCAAAATCGAGTCCCAACTCACCACCTAGGAATCGCCAAGGAGACGCCTAGCAACAAGGATGATCACATTGTACATCGTGGAAATGAATAGGTCTAGTTCCCAAATCCAAAACCGTACGCCCCCTCTTTGTTTCTCTGGTAGACATACATATGCATCATAGGTCGTGCTTACTCGATCAAGGCACCCTCTCAGCGGGCATACCCACCTCCTCGTAAAAGGTATCTACCATCACATCTGCTTTCGATGGGCACTATTCACACCTTATCCCGCCTTGGACGTACTCACGCCACACGTCTCCCCCCCACACCCTTCGTGACTTCGGAACTGCACTCGAGGTAATATCTGAACCCGTCATAACACAAACACATACCGCGGATCCCCTTTCGTAGACGTGTCTACCACCACTACTTCCGAATGGGCGCAACCGATATCCACCCCCCTTCCCTCCCACCCCTCAAGGTTCATGACCCACACGCCCTCCGCACAACTTATTTTCACAGCATAACCTTCAAACGTCACTAACAGCTTGAACAACGTCATGCAAGCCAACGGGGTACCATGAAAACAAGGGTAATAATATATATAGTCTTCGAATTTGAAGTAAGATACTAGAGTAAATTGTCATATCGCCATGCGATCCGGGTAGCGGTGTTCATGAGACAAGCCCACGATAACCTGTATCGATATCATGCCATGAAACACCATGCACAACGCTCCGAGTGTTCCAAAGTAACCCCAAACCCTAAGAAATGGTGCTTCCAGAGCACCCCCTGCCTTTGAATGACAGAGAAGAAGAAGCCGTCGAGCGAAGAGTGGAATTGGCACCCGAATGCCTTCCCCTCGCTCGGAAAGTATCGCTCAGAACTCTGACCCGCTGTCCTCATTGCGATCAGGCCCTCGGAATGCGAGCGAGATGGGACATCGTGCTTCCTCCGAACGGGGAACGTGGACTGTCCCTCTGCCTCCGGTTACCGACCTACGCACCGAACCCGACGGCCGCACTGCAGTCCCCGTCATCTCCATCCAACTCCCAGCCCCACTCCCACCCATCACCGCCTCCTTCATCCTCTTCCGCCTCGGGGATGCTTGCTATTTGTGGGTCAGCCAATCCACTGCCTGCCCCGTCACCGGACCCATCGCCGGCGACCCCTTCCTCGCTGCTGAGGCTTCCAATGGAAGAGGGGGCAGAAAAGCCTG